CCGTGCCATACCTTGTTTGCAGCTGATTGCAATTCTGATACAAAAATAGATATATTTTTTTCTAAAAATGGCCATACATTAAGTAGTAGTAGTCTATCTCGAGTCAGAACTGTGATAGAAAACCACCGATGAAAACCTCTAGCCAATGAATCGCGAATCAAAAATGTATGGCTTAATACACTGCAGCCTCGAGAGCCTCCCACACCCAAATCATCACTAAATACTAATACTCCTTCCTTTCCCTGGCTGACCTAGAATGAAAGTAATCATTTCTCAAACTTTCATTTAAATAAATAAAATATTTAGACAACACGTTGCAAAAGTACATACTTCACAGCTGAGGCTTCTTGTACACGCTTGACGAACTAGTGCTTCAGTTTCAGACTGCCAAGGAAGCTGTGAGCTGATATAACTTGTTTGAGTATCATGATCAGAGGTAACAAAAATGTTGTTGCTCACAGACTGGCAGGCCTAGAACAAACAAAGGAGTAAGAACGCACCAACAATAAACCACAATTACATGAACAATACTTTACCTCACATGAAGAAGTTGTTGCATCTCCAGGTGTCCGGAGACACTCGGGTAATCCATAAAATTTATTTCGTTTAAGATTTGCTTGTTTGTGGGAACGAGTGCTCTGCGTGCTTAATAAGACACTTGGGCCATGTAGTTCACAGAAGTGACAAACAGAAATAATGGCGTTCATGGTGCTATTTGACAATATCCTATTTACAAAATGTTAACTAACACTGGATAATCTATAACATTTTCAGTTCTAACTAAAAATACACCAGCACTATCATAAGAGAAGAAACGGCCAAACTATAGTAATTTCACAATTAAATATGATCTCAAGTCATCGCAGAACCAACATGAACCTTAACCAGATCACTTTAACCAGATCTAGCTATTAAAAGATTATGTACCCTGTCACTTCGAGTAAAGTTATGGAATTGAAACAGTAACTAAAATTGTTCATCAGGTTGCAAGTGACAACCAAATACCAAGGGGCAAAGGAAAAACACAAATACACGGAAACAACTTACTGACAGGAAGCATGAAAAATTGCGACCAAATAGAGGTACGTTGAGCTTCTGAAAACGCTGAAACTATCTGACACTCACTTAAGACATGCACAGCATATATATTCGATGTTATTTACCAAATCTGCCTATTATTATTTGCGGCACAAACGTTCGTAATTTGACCGAGAGCAGAGCGGTGGAATTCAAACTTACCGCGCCTCCTTTTAAATTTTTCATCAATGAAACTAAACTACATATCTTATCGGATTTAAATTTTCGTCTGTCTTCATCCGTGCCATGTCGGTGCCGGATAAATGCTGTAATCGGTGCTGATATTGCTAAAAGATGGTCGACATAAGTGTAAAATGTCGTCAATAGATAACTCTACTTCCACACAAGAGAGACAAGAAAATGAAATAACCGCCTTGAAGGTAAACTTTGCATTTGAACTCTGTCTCACGATTTGTTTAGGTTATAATAAACAGTTCCCTGTGATACCTTTGTAAACACTACTTTTCCTTGAAGAAAGAGATAATACTTTTAGTTACAGATTATACATTTCCTTTATTATGAATTGCTTTTCTCGTTCCCGTCTATTTTTGTTGAGATAATGTAATGTCACTCTCTTTTTATAAATTTACAGGCAATTTTTGAAAATGAATTAGAGGATCTCAGAAAACTCGATGAAAATGACCTGTGGCAGCCTCTGGACTTTGTTCTTTATTTGAGTCCTCAGCAAGGCAGCTCAGGCATCCAAGAAATCCATGCTGATGTTCATTTGCAAGTTACTTGTTGCCAATCCTACCCTGAAAAGTATGTCAAACAACAATTCAAATTTGACTTTTTCTGGTCAAAGTAAAAGTCTAATTTCTCACATTACTCATTTTAATTACAGAGTTCCTGTTTTGAAGGTTGTCAAAAGCAAAGGCATCTCAACATGTGACATATCACAATTAATGGAGGAACTGCAGAAGCTAACTGCAAAGCTCCGTGGACAGGAGATGGTTTATGAAATTGCGCAACATGTACAGGTTGGAATTGAAGAAATCTCTATTTATAGCTTTATCCATGTAAGAATCAGTACAGTGACTGTGTCAAAATCTGTTCTTAGCACAATGCACAAGTCTACGTTTACGGGTAGGAAACGAGATGTGGTGCACCTCTTGAGTATAGATTTTTGCCCAGTTCTAGTTTTGTTTCCTGATTGGATCAAGATCAAATACTACTATTTCCATGAAGTAAAGGCAGGTGTGCACTTTGATTTTGTGTGTCTATGTTTCTAGGATTTTTTACACAAACACAACAAACCAGGATTCAAATCATTTCATGAAGAAATGTTGTTTCTTCAGCAGCAACAAAAACAAGAACAGCAACAACTCAATTCACTCCGTGAGCAGAAGGAGGTAATGCTTGAACTGTGAATTTTTTTATTTTTCTTAATATAAATGTACATAAATAAAATTTTGAACAAATACTTTTGTTTTTAGAGACAAGCTATTCAAAATGAAGTTCATAGAAAACAAGAGGCCTTGCGTGCTGAGGGCCGTCAAAGAAGAGAAAGCCTCCGCCTCAATCAAGATCCTTCCAATCTTCCACAGAGGTATGCACAAGCTACCATAATCACCTGATTGTCTATTTTACATTGTTAATTTCTGTTTGCAAAGTATTTTTTTTTGTTTTGGTTTTCATTTTTACAGTGATTACAATGAAGATCATTCACCAGAGAGTAAACCCTCTCTATTCAAAGACTGTTATATCAAGGTAAAGAGTCAAATTGTCAAACTTTAGTGTTAAAATCTATATACAATTATGTATTCAATGTATGTTGAATTGTAAATATAGCAGGTATGAAATACATGTAAATGGTAACTTGTTTCTTTTAAAGGTAACTCAAGATTGTGTGTCTGGTGATGAGGAGCCAGATGCTGAAATGTGTTTCCTTCCACATGATGCCAAGAGTCAGTCTAGAATCTTGAGTGAATTTGAAGAGTTAAAGTTTCTTGGAAAGGGAGCATTTGGTGATGTATTAAAGGTATTTGTTTTGGTAGCTCATATTTGATGTTGCAAAAATTTCAATTATATGTTGAAATGAAAGTATCTTAATGTGTTTATTTTTATTTTTAATTGATTATGTAGGTAAGAAATAAACTGGATGGGAGAGAATATGCAATTAAACGCATTGAACTTAATCCACGCAACCGCCAACTCAACCGCCGCATTACAAGAGAAGTAAAATTGCTGTCACAGCTAAACCATGAAAATGTTGTCCGTTATTATAACTCATGGATAGAAAGCGCGACTATTGAAGTTGTTTCATCAGATTCAAACAGTGGAAGTCCATCAGTCCTCAAACCATACCGCCCCGTAAAAGTAAGTTCTAACAGGGAAAGAAAATGATTATTCCATTTATTTTAAGAAATTAAATAAGCTAGTGTTGCCCCTTCAGGCCCTTAAAGAGCTAGCCCCCACAATTAAAGGAAGTTTGGAATGGAGTGTGTCCAGTACAGCCATTCAAGAATCTTCTGATTCTGAAAGTGATTCTGACTCTGATAGTGAAATACCTGATGGGGAACAGTGGTTGGGCTTTTTGTGAGTACATTAATTTTACTTGTGACATGTTGCAATTAGTTACTATGCTCCTTCATATACTTTATCAATCTATATTACTATTTTTTAATTTTTAATAGGTCTATGCAAGATATGTCTGATAGTATTGTGTTTGAAAATGATTCTCAACCATCTCCCGAAGGCAATGAAGTTGAACTTGAAAGTAAATCTGCAAATTCCAACAGTGAGCTGGAGAACAGCTTAAGCCCACTACACCGTGAAATTCAATTTATGTATATTCAAATGGAATTCTGTGAAAAAAGCACGTTAAGGTATGCTACTTTTTCAGTTTATTAATTTCTATGTATATCAAATTGCAGGGATTTTGATCTGGTTTCAATGTATGTATTGACAAATTTCTTTATGCTCAGGACAGCAATAGATGAGGGCCTGTGCCAAGATGAATCAAGAGTTTGGAGATTATTTAGAGAAATTGTTGAAGGCTTGGCTCATATTCATCAGCAAGGAATGATTCATAGGGATCTGAAACCTGTAAACATTTTTTTAGATTTTCAAGATCATGTGAAAATTGGTGATTTTGGTCTTGCGACTATGAGCAGCTTACCAAGGCAAGTCTATATTCTTAATCAAATCTAATTCAAAAACAATCACAGTAGTTTCGCTTTTTATCAATTTACTCACCTTCTTATTTTTTTCTCCTTTAATTCCCATATTTTAGGGTGGCGACAAAAGAAAAGGATACTTTGGAAGTATCACATATCGAACAGTTCCATATCAACTCTGATAGATATGATTCAAATGATCAATCACTAACTAGCCATATTGGTACAGCATTATACGTTGCACCAGAGGTCAACAATTCGTTATCAAAAGCCATGTACAATCAGGTATATTAAATTCATATTAGATACACCAAAGATTACATAAATTACATTTCATAGATTACACACACCAATGAAAGAATAAGCTGATGTGCTGAATTATTTTTTTCTCATTCTAGAAAGTTGACATTTATAGTTTAGGCATAATATTTTTTGAGATGTGCTATCCACCTCTACAAACTGGTATGGAACGGATTTCTGTCCTTCACAATCTTCGCTCAAGGCAAATCATATTTCCAGTTAACTTTCCTATGAGTGAAATGATAAAACAAGCGCATGTTATTCGGTGGGTTTTTGTCATTTACTTTTTCATAGAAATCCTGCCACCTTTCCCAAACCAATGAGTTTTAATCTATAAATTTATAACTGTGAAGGTGGCTGCTTGATCATGAACCATCAAAGAGACCATCATCTGAAGAACTTCTTGCTTCAGACTCCTTGCCTCCCCCGCTACTGGAAGATGCAGAGCTACAAGATATGGTTCGCCATACTTTGAGAAATCCTCAGAGTAAAGCATATAAATATCTTGTTGCTTCTTGTTTTAAACAGGTACGATTCCTTTGATAAAAGATTATCCGTCTACCACTGAAAAATACATGATTTCAGATTGTTTTCGGCAGGATGTTGGACCAGCAGAAGATGTTACATTTGACATGGCAGTTCCTCCAAAAGGACTTAGTCTTCAGCGGTTTTTAGTTCTCCAAGACATGGCAAAAAGTGTAGTAGTTAAGGTTTTTAAGAGGCATGGTATGTGTAACCATCAGACCTCTACACTTTCTCTCTTTTTTTCTTTCTTTTGTTTATGTAAATCCCATTTTTTATATCCATCTATTTTTATCCCAAAGGTGCTGTCAGTCTTACAACACCGCTCCTGATGCCTCAAAGAGCTGTAGACTCAGAAGTTGATTCTGTTGTTCGACTCATGACAAGATGGGGTGGCATTGTTAATGTTCCTCATGATCTCCGAGTCAACTTTGCACGTTATGTTGCATGGAATAACATATCATGTCTGAAGCGTTATGCGATTCAGAGGGTTTACAGAGAGAAAAGAGTATATGGTTTCCATCCAAGAGAGCTGTATGAGTGTGCTTTTGATATTGTGACTCCAAGTCCAGGTACTTTTATTGTGTTTGGTATCATTTTTTGTTTTTTAATTCCCAACGAATTGTTTAAATTACATACATAGAAATAATAACACAAATTAATTTTAAATTTCTTATTTTGAGGTAGATTAATGTAAGATTTTCAATTGAAAATGTTTTTTTTATTCAGGAAGTTTACTATTAGATGCTGAGTTACTAGCTGTCGTTTGGGAGATGGCATCTGAACTTCCTGGACTGAGAGATCTTGCATGTGCATTTAGACTTAATCACACATCTTTGGTAAAAGCAGCGTTGTTTTATTCTTGTGTGAGAGAGGATCACCATTCGAAGATTCTTTCCGTGTGCAGTGAAGCAAGGGTAAATATGGCGCATTCTTGTAAACATTTTGAGGTATAACTGGAACTTATCCATCAATCAATTTCTTGCTTGTAAAGGATAAAAATAATCTTAGACAACAACTACAAGAAATCCTCACAGAACCTGAAATGGCTTCCCTATTTTCCTTGCTTGAAGTCGAGGGCCCATATTCCAAAGTATCTGCAACGTTTCGCGTTGTTACTAAACGTAAAGGTGAAGCTGCATCCTTGGCCAAACAAGGACTACATGATCTTGAAAATACTATCAACTATGCCCAAGCATTAGGCATCAAGGTATGCTGATTTCGCCTGGTATGTATTTTCATCTGAATATTTAGTAAAATATTTTACTTGTCCTTATTTTCAGTGTCCAATATTAGTAAGTCCAGTTTTTGTTCGCAATATAAATCAATACTCTGGAGTTATGTGCCAGTTAGTTTGTGAAAACAAAAACAAACACCGGCATGGGGGCGTTGAAGTAATTGCAGCTGGTGGCAGATACGATGGAATGATCGCCTCTTTCAGGTCAGTAGCTACAGCACTAATTTATTTTTTTTTAATTTTGAGCCGGGCGTTGGCTGTCTTCTTTAGACTTCAACTTTTCTATTTTGCAGGCAAGCTCTTGATCGAAGTGGAATGTTACGTCCTGGTCCTCCCCAGGCAGCTGTTGGTGTTAGTATTTGTATGGACAAAGTGGTCACACTCTTACATGATAGTGATGAAAGGGTGAAATCATTAGATGTTGTTTTGTGGTCCTCTGGCCATCAAACAGCTTTGGATGCTGCAGTTGTTGCTAAGGATCTTTGGGGGTCAGGAATGAAGTGTCTTTTGCTGGACATTGTAAGATCACCTAATTATAGTTTTATGGTCTCTCTCAAACACAAAACAAATTTGATTAGATTGAACCATTTTATTTCAGACTGAACATGAAACAGAAGAATATTGTCAAGAAATGGCAGTACCTCTTATGGTGATACTACGAGAAGGAGACTCAAGCTCTGTTCGTGTTAGGATGTGGGAAAAAGAGCGGTTAGTTTTCCTAATTTAGTTTCCAATAACCTTTGTTGCTTTACCTAAACTCTGACTTTATTTCCTGGCCCAGGCTTCATGAGAAAAAAGTACTTCGTACAGAATTGACGGAATTTCTACTGAGAGCCCTACGTCTATGTCGGGATACAAATGAAGGCCTAGTTTCTGCTCTGCCCATGCAGAGACAAGAGATTAAGAACCTTGCAGGAGGAGACAACCATTCTCACACTCATAATCACACTCACTCCCACCGGCATACCCATGTGGAAACTCATGGTCACCAACATAATATGGTCATTAACATGAACTTTTTAAGTTCAGAGAGAATGGCTGCAAGTTCCAGGAAGCGATGCCAAACTCAGGCAAGTAAAGTAACTTAATTGATGATGAAATGTTACTACCTTGACCCTTGTCTTCATGGTATCCTTTTACTCTAGATTTACAGCCACACCCTTCGCATTGTCCAAAAATTAGATGTAAGAGCTCCCATCCAAGTTTTGGCTGTTGGTGGATTAGATGGAAGCACTGTTTGTTCTCTTGCTGGACTGCTTGACTTAGAGAGTGAACAAGATTTTAATGAAAGTAGAAAAGCAGCTTTAGAAAGGTGAGAAAATGCTCAGAATCTTTTTTAAGATATATGATATTATGTGTTATAGCAAATTGTGTCATAAATTTCCTTTTTTAGGTTGCCAAGAAACAAAAAGGTTATTGCTGAAGTATTGGATGAAATTTATGATCTACGGTTTGAGAAAAATGCCCCTGTGATAATTCTATATAGCCTCCCAGATAATAAGTTTCGTCTCCTAGTTTAAGTCTCTTGATGCTGTGATGTGCTACCTTTTCTTTTCTGTTTGTCAAAAATGTGTGAAAGTATTTTACCATGAATTTTTGGTAATATCAAGAGAAATGAAGTGCGACTATTTTCAATGACAAAGACTGAAAAGGGGTCTAAATTATCCTATTTTTAAATGTGTGTTTGTAATCTATATTTTTTATACATTTCATTTATTACATTCTTATTTAAAAGAATGCTATTACTGAACTGCATGTAAGCATACTTAATTTAAAAATAGATGACTACTGTTGTGTGGCCTTAATTCTGCTTATAACATCTATTGCTTCTGAAATTTGATTTACATTCTGTTTTAGCTGCTTATTTTTTCCCTGTAATGTTAAAATAATAATGCAAAGACCTGTATTGATCCATATTAAAATAGACGAATGAAATAATCAACTTTCAATACCTCGTACAAAACTGGAACTTTCCTCCACAATCCAATCTTCTCAATATCTTCGCTATTTCTATAACTAGATTTCAGTGCATTACATTCATTTCCTGTGCTGACTTGGAATTTCATCTGCAACAAAGAAGAATGAAGAAAAGGATATAGAAAATCTAACATAAATAAGAGTTATACAAGATGTCATGCCGCAGGGTAACTCACTGCTGTTTTCAAGTCAGTTTTAAGTGACTGCTGGAACCAATTAGCACATATTTTGGGATATACGGACCGATTAAAAGAAAGTTCGTCTTTTGCTTCCTTTATGTCAACAAGATCTAAAAGAGAAGGAAATGTCGAATGAAAAACCATCCCTGGTTAAAATGTTAACAGAATTTGCAAAACAGTTTTTGAAAAAGATAAAATTGTCTCTTTACCATGAGCAGACATTGTACAAATTGGATGTATACCAAGCCTAATTATTATTATTCAAATAGTTATTCAAACAGAAACTCAAATGTATTAGAATCAAATAGATAACCTGGCAAGAACATCTAGTAACGCAAACCACACAACAAGCGACCAGGCAATGTTTACGTTTTTGAAATGAACTGTCTGCTTCACAGTTTTTTTTGTTAACAACTGCAGGGACTTCTGCACCAACCTTTGAACTTGAAAAGTGTAGACATAGTTATGCCACATGAATTCTATCTTATATCATCTTTGTTGTTACCTGAATTTCGGGAAAATTTAAAATATTTGTTTTTGTTTAACAAACAGCTATAAAGCTGAGGAACATTGTGTATAAATGTGTAATTCTTCTTTTTTTTATTTTCTGCAAGGTTGCCGTTTCTGGTTTCAGAAGACGATATAGATTTGAAATTTCAATCCCACAACAAAGAACGTTGGCGCCAGAGCCGGTAAAACAGTAATCTGCCATCTTAAATCGCGCTCAAAAGGCAAGACATTCGGAGTATTGTGAAAAGCTGCTTGTTGTGCGTAGATTGACAAATGCTATGTAGTGGAATGTGCGTACAAATTTTCAGTGGACATGTGTAAATCATTAGTGCCGCATGCCTCATCCCAGCGTCATCTTCACTTGCAAAACGATTACAACGAAGGATATGCAGCCCGAAGGACGTCCTTCTCTTAAACTTTTGGAGATTTAACAGTGATTTATACGTGCTATCATCTGGTGACATATTTTGAACTTTAACCATCATGGATCCTTCTATTTTCTTTGGTCGATCTCGTGTTACAAGGCAGACTTCTAAACCTAAGCAGCTATCGACTGACAAAGAGAATTTGAAGAGCGAGGTTAAATCAGTGAAAAAGAAAACTACTGTTAACCAGAAAGGTAGCAAAGGAACATTACGTGAGGTGAGAAATGAAGCCATTCCTACCCGTAGAAATGCTGTCAGGGGTGCGTCTCAAGTTGGTGAGAAGAGTGTGAAAAGTAATGATGGTGCTGTTGTAAATTCAGAGAAAAAGGTTCAAGAGAGCAAAACAAGGAAAACAGTCCGCTTTACTGAGGATGATTCAAATAATGCTGACACTCAGGAAGTTTCTTCTGGTCCTGTGTATAAGAATGTACGCAGGTCAGATGTAAGGGATGACCCTGTTGATGAGTATGCTTTTGATGAGAGTGATTCTTCTGGTGAGAGTGCTGCTCCAACCAAGAAAAAGAGAAAGCGACAGCCGCAGAAGAAGAAATCTGCTAAAAGTGTTGTCAAATGGGACCCATCCAAAAAACCTGTTGTTGTGAAGCCCACCAAACCTAAGAAGTCCAAACCAAATGAAACAGAAGTGACATCTGTGACTTCTAACAAGACAACCAATGTGAAATGTAAAGGAGCTCCAAGCTTAACCAAAGAACCAATTCTAACTTCGGAAGACAGGGGAGCTCACCGCGACAAACTTTGCTCTGCTTCAACCAAGCAACAACTCCTTCCGTCTAAACAGAAGGAAACAATATTAAAAGAACCTCCAGTTGATACTTCTTTAGACTTTGAAGTTGATAGCCACTTTACATCAACTCCAACAACAGGAAAAGCTCCATCCAGACTCATTACAAAACATGTTGGAGGGAAGATAGGTGCCATATTAACTCCCAATCAAAAAAATATAGTGTGTCAAACTTCAGCAAGTGTCAAGTTGCTGAATGAAATTCAAACTACGTCACCAGTTTGCAGTTCTCCATTGGCTTCCTGCTCTACTAGCAATAAAACTTCATCCACCAAGCAAACACTTGGCAAAAAACCTGATACTAAATCTGTGGAAGCCAAAATAGCAAATGTGTCATCACATATTGAATCTACTGTTAAGAATAAGCTGAAGTCAACACCATTCCTCACACCTGTCAGAAGTCCATGTATTTCAATACCTAGCATTTGTGTGAGAGAGAGTCCATCATTTATGGAAACTGAACTTGAAGTGCCAATTGAAGCCTCACCAATTTCATGTTCATCTCTGCCGACAAAACCACTAAGCAATATCCCTGCCTCACCTGTGACACGCTCCATGACTTCTGAAAATTGTAATGTATTGAGCTCAACACCAACACCTCAGTTGGCTGCAACGTCATCATCACCAAACAATGGATCAGTTTCATTATCGCCAGCTGCAGCAGAAGAACCATCACTTCAATCTGCAGATATTTCAAAGCTTTTTGATGATCTTCCACGAACTTCTGTAATACCCACTCGCATGTTTTCTACCCATCGAGGGACTATATTTAGACCTGAAGTAGATAACAACGTTAACAAGAGAAAGTTACCTGAGGTATCCCCAAGCAAAAAACTAGCTGGTCCAAGAAAAACAACTGTGAAATTTTCTGTTCCCCAAACTTCCTCTGGTCTAGATGACTGTTTTGGCTTTGATGATGATGATTCACCATTCATACCCAAATCAAATCCAATACCTAGACATGTAATGGCTCCTGAGGAGGGGAAACCTAAAAAGCCTAATCTGTCCATACAAGATGTTCAAGCTCTTATTAGGGGGCAGTTGCAGCTTGTCTCACCTTCAATTAGCACCCCTCGTTCAATTCAAACAAAACTTACAGACTTTGTAAGTTCAACCCCATCTACAAGATCTAAACAAAAACCAACTCAGGGTGTCCTCACTCCTACACCTGTACCTTTGTTTGGAGAGGAAAATCTTGACACTGAATTGACATCCCCCTTTACTCAAGTAAGTGCTTTGTGTTTAAAATCCATCTATTTCATGTCATCAAAGCCAATTTAAGCTTATTAACTTTCTTTTTTATTACAGCTCTCAAGGCGATCTTACGACAGATTTCGACCTGCCAAACGGATTGCCTGTGGAGATGAGGTACTCTCTGGTGATGAAGCGGATGAGAATGATGCAAATCAAAATACAACTGAGACTACTGGTGTAGAAATCAAAAAGAAAAGCCGGTCTTATAAAAAGAAAAAGAAGGTCAGTAACCTCACCGAAGTCTTTCCTTTCCTTTTGACATTGTGTCTAATTTTGTTAATTATTTTGTAGCCAGAGGAAAAACAACTGGATACCTGGGCCCAGCAGATGGCATCACACTTTGATGAAGTAGAAGATGTAGAACTGGAGATTAAGTAGTTTTTCATCTCGATGAAGACTAAAAGATTTTTCATTATTGTTAATCTTGACTCAAGCAAATTTACAATTTATTTTCATGTTAAAGTTAAAAATAGTCTAAAATTAAAAGTATATAGACATTTTGTACAAATATGAAAAGTAGGTGCTGTTCTGCGCAGTTTCTTTTCTTACATAAAACACTTCTCATTGTAACTAAAATTATTGTTTCCATTTTATTTTCAGAAGTTTATAATTTAAAATTTATCCAGTTAGTATAATGTGTTTTGAGGATAGCAATTTGTTGTAACTTCCTTAGAAGTTGGTAACATATATCCATCTAGTATCAAATGTGTGCCTTTTGATATCATTCAGATTTCCATCGTTACACTTGTTCTGTCCTCTTTAAAAGTCAAAGTGTAGTATATTGTGTAATTGTAACCTGCATGTCCTTAATTTACCTTGTGTAGTATTCCATTTTTCTTCAGTATTCTTTGTATTCTAATTGTTAAGCTTGTGCTTCTTTACCTTCACCATATGATTATATTTTTGTATCCAATCTTGCTATATTTTATTAACATTCAGTTATTAAAATCACTTATGGCAAAGCTGGTGGCCATATGAAACAAAGAGTTCAATTAAAACTTTTTATTTATTCAAGCATTAGTCAACAAAGACAACAAGCATTTCTTAAACAATATGTATTACTGAGCATTAACACAAGCTGCAAATAAGCTAGGAAACCAATATGTTTTTTCTTTTGGATTCTGAACATCTATCCATGCTAAGCCTTCTTGCAACATATAATTTAGACCCCTTTGGGTCCTTTCTAGTTCCCAGCCCAACTTAGATTGAATATCAGAGCAACTGATGTGTCCTTCATTGTCTGTAGCAGCTTGAAGGATAGCTGTATGATCCATGTTCAGCTCGCCTGGTACAGACTGAACTAAATATTGACCTTTACCCATTGGTAACACAGTGAATCCATTCCCAAATATTCGTAACTTTTTGGAAGCACACAGTAAATCATCAATAGATATATCCTGATGTTGTTTACTTCGTCCTCGAGCTTGAACAAGTCTTTTGCGTAATTCATCCATGGTTATTAATCCACCATTTTTGTAACTAGTTGCAATGCATACTTCTACAATTTGTACACTTAGTTCATAATAGAAATCACCAATACCAAGAACAGACCAAAAGCCTTTGCCAGAAGCCAGTGGATCTACTCCGATTGATGCACACATATCTTGAAATTGCCTACGGAATTGTACATTTTTCCTTATTTCATTTTTGTGTTTAGCAGCAAAGTCCTCTAAATTTGTTCGAAACACTTCCATTTGTTTTGACATTTGTTCTAATTGGTTCTCCTGAATTTCTGTTCCTTTGTCACGATACTTTTCTTGTTCAAGCTTCTGCTTGTGTATGGCACCAACTCCAGCTCTTCGCCGCATGATGATGCAGATCTAAACAGACAAAATAAATAAATTAATAAATAAATAAACAGCCCGGCAGATATTAATGAGGAGTGAGGTGGGGTTTGAAGAATTCAAATTTATTGAATGATTAAGCTATAAGAGATAAGCCTGATTGAACTGAACTCTGTGTAGTAGGTCACTCCTCTCTTCCACTGACGATGAAAACAATCTAGAAACCAACTAACCAGAGATGGTTCAGACAACTGGATTCCAAAATAATTCACTAAGAGTGAAGTTAATTGTTTTTTAACAAGAATTCAAGACAGACACCTGAAACACTGTTTTTTCTTGTTGTTGTTTGTTGTTCGATAGACTATAAATTTCTCATAGTTTTCTTCTCGTCATATTTTTTCTAAAATGTTATTTACAAAAGGCAGTGGCCAGTCTTGTTTTGTTTTTGTTTTTCTAGGTACTTGTTTGGTGTTTTGGCATCTATTCGTTTGCTTCTTCAAACAAACCCTGTAATTATTGTAATCAATTGAATGAATTATTGATCTCTCTTTGCTGCTTTATGTGCCGTTTTGCATACCGAAGCCACATCCCCGGGGGAGCACTGGAGAACTTTGTCTGATCTAGCTTGCGTCCACTGGTTAACCTACTGGTTAACCGTTGGACTCCATATCAAACCACCAGGATTGATCCAGGTAAATAGAGCGATTACCATTAATTTTTCTACTTCGTATGACTATATACTGTATACGATTATTTTGCTTCGCAGTAAAAATGCCTGCCATCATCATAGAAAGACCGGAATGCAAGGAGGAAATGTGGAAAGCTCTTCGGCTACATATAATTCAAAGTCGTCGTAAGAAAAAAGAAGGTGTGTAAATTCAAATTAAGTTTAGTACTAAATTGCGTTCTAAAGCGATTTTTCTTTGTTCTTTCTAACATTGAGGTGATTTACCCGTTTTCCTATAGAGTTAGCTGAGGAAGAAGCAGAGGAGAGGCAACGGAAACTTCAAGAAGAACAGTATAAGAAGGATAGAATGACCTTGGGAGAAACTAAAAATCAAATCCATTGTTTAGAATCTCACTTAAGAAAATTGAAAGATGATAAACATCAGTTATTTTTGCAGCTGAAAAAGGTACTTAATGAAGAAAATGCCAGTCGCCATCGCCGTGCAAGAGTTGATATGAGGTATTTTTCCATTTTGAATGCAGTAAAAATTTAATTTTGAACGGTGTTTAATTTAAATCTTTATTGTCCATTTTAGTGAACACAATCAGCCCTATTCTCTAGTGTCACTGAGTGGAAACTCTAACGCAACGGGGCACCAGCAGCAACTTCTTCTTCAGCAACACAACACCCCTCAACTTCCTCTCAGGGTCTTTAAAGTAGGACACAACCCTGGGGAAATTATGGCTCCTGTAAGTTTATCTCCTAGTCACCTGTAGTTTTTAACAGAAATATCAATTAATAATTCCTAACCTTTAAAACATGTCTTTTTCAGCAAGGTAAGATTATAATCCATCGGCATAATACCATATCACATTCAAATCTTGTGGTCAGGACAATTATCAATCATCAAATCTTGCGGTAAGATGGACCTATTTTGAAGGATTGTTCAGAGACTTCATCTTTATCTTTATCACAACTCAAAGCCTCTATATACTGTTGTGTATTGAAGAGCTCTCTTGGTTAATTCAGTTAACTTCAGAAAAGAGCTTTTTACCACAACTTTTTAGTTGAGTGAGATAATGTAAGCGATTAGAAAAGGAGCCTCAGTTAAAATGTGTGCAGATGCATCAAACCCTTTATCAGCCACCTGAAATCCTTCTTTCTTCTTTTTATTACTTAATGAGCTCCTCTTACAGATGTGGTAGAAGATAGTCGTCGAGGCCTTGGCGAGTACGGTGGTCGTGCAGTGCTGTGGAACAGTAAGTAATCATGACAAAAACCTACCGCCACCGGTACATCTGGTGCCTTACAGAATATTTAATTGTCTGTTTTGGGAATAGCTTCTCTTCAAACATAGTCTCAATTAATATTGATCTTGCTAAAATGACAAATGGAATTTGTCATTAAATGTGTTTTGGAGACCTCATTACAGGATGTCTATTTTAATGACATAAGTTTAAGGCATTGAAAGATTGTAATCTCCACTTCAGTGCCGACACCTTGTTTAAATTAAACATTGACTCTTACCCTCATCGTTTTCTAGAGAGACATCCTGAGGCAGGATTCTACCCTGGGCCCCACCCAAGTCAGCTGTACACCACCCAGGTGATTCCCAATGTGGCACCTCACCACGTGGCACCACCCTCTGCAGCCCCACCCACCTCTGTGGCCGCGTCAGCCATCACCACCACGGAGCGAGAGCGAGAGAGGGAGCGCGAGCGGGAGCGGGAGCAGCGCGAGCGGGAGCGCGAGCAGCGTGAGAACAGAGAGCGGGAGCGAGAGAGGGAGCGTGACGATCCCCCCGTGAGCAAACCGGGTCACGTGCAGTTCATTCCCCAGGCGAGGGCCCCTACACATACCCCTTGTAAGTTGCGTCTCCAGTATTCCAATTTTACCATTCCATTTTAATCATTTTTCATTTCAATTTACCACATTGTATTGTTCTTTGCAGATCAAGACAAGTTTTATCCTGTGAGGCCAGCGACACATGTGCCTATTCATGGTGGTGTTATCCCCATTCAGAATCAACTCCAGGTTCGTAATTTTGCATGTACCCACTGAAGACACAACAGCTGGGTTTCCAAATTTTTAGTCTTCTTATTTTAGAAAATAAAAATAGGTTCAGATTATTCAGTGCCAAGCTGACACTGAGAAATGGATGTACCAAATGATTTGTTTGGGAACCTCTTGTAATCTTATCATTGGACTTTGAGATGGTTTCCTGTTACAGTTTCTTGTACGAAGACATAATTTTGCCTTTTTACACTTTGAGTGCGGCGTGACCACTGTGTGGTCCGGTGTGGTCACACTCCCATCCCAGGAGTTAATTCACTGTCGCACTCAATGCGTAAAGGTTTGTTCTGCAGACTGTTCCTGACTCTTTGCGAATGCTCTCTTAGGGTGCCAAGACTGGGAGCATAACAAGCGGCTACCCGGTGCGCTCGCCAGCGCCGCCCTCGGCGCCGTCCTCGCAGCACGCGTCCCCGCACGCGTCGCCGCAGCCGCCGCCCCGGCCCGCCACGTTCCAGCCGGCCGGCCCCGTCATCAGCTCTCAGTCTGTGGTACGCATACATCAGCTGACACATTTAAACCAACAGTTTTGCCATCGTGTGCCGCTCTTACAAGTGCTGCCGTTTTGATTGTCCACCGGCAGGCGATCTATCCACACCGGCTGGTGAGCATCCCCATCACGAGTGCTCCTTCCGGCATACCCTCATCTCTCGGGCATCTGGCGAGCCATCCCAACAGCCATCTCCCGTCCAGCCACCCCTCCAGCTACCCTCCGCCTGGAACGCACACGTCCAGTCACACGCCGACGAACCACGTGACCAGTCATCCTCATCCCACCAGCCACGCCCTGAGTCACTCGTCGGGACACACACTGCCTCACCATGGCAGCCACTCAAGCCATCCAAGCCACCCACCAAGCCACACCACTCACCCCTCGAGCCATGTAGCTAGCCACCCGCCTGGTCACGGCAGCCACCCTCACTCACTCGGCCACGCGTCTGTCTTGCATTCCTCGCATCAGCAGGTAAGCATTTTGTCAATTGTTGCTTAATTTTGTGTTTAATGTGTACGCTGTTTGATCTATTCATATTGTTTTCATTTTGTTTAGGTACACGTCAATGTCTCTCAAGGGCATCAGGGACATCAATTACCACTTATCCGTCTTACTATGTCTAATATGCCTAGGGAATCATAATTGATTGTTGTCTTTTCCTCCGATCAAAGTTTGTTGGTTTTGTATCTGTTACAATTTTTGACTTAGACAAACTCTTTGATACTAACAGTTTAAAATGTGTGTAAAATGTTATAAGGTTATTAAATGTGGTGTATTTGAGCAAATTTGTGATTATCAATATTATTTGTAGAGGCAGGCAAATTATTCTTCGATGATTCAAAACTCTGTAATTCTTTATTAGTACAGAAATATCTTACCACTTACTCGATATTCTCAGTTTGAGTACTGTTGATATAAATTTTCAGTCACATGTAACTTAAAATTCTTGACATGAGAAGTAAATTCAACATCCAGAAAGAATAAAATAGTACATCTTTCACACTACATAGACACAATTGCCATATTGTGACATATTTGTACGCATATCTAGTAAAGTATCACATAAAAGTATATATAGATATACAACTCCATTATATCAATGAAACGACTAGCTGCTAAAAGATAGAGCAGGAAGATTCCACACCAAAAAATGCAAAATCTCTGAAATGAACAGAAATCACAGTGGTATGTTACTGTAAAATAAAAAAAAAGCAGGGGGGGGGGGGCATTAAACCCAGACAAACACTTAACATGGTAAAAACATTAAAAACTTTGAATACCTGTATAAGATAGGTAACATACATTTAAAAAAAAAGAGAATTACAAGAATGAAGCCTGTCAGGTCAATTTTGGAAACCCTGGAATGGGCCAAATTCATAATTTAAAAGAGGGTAAATACAGGGCATGTCTTATTTCCAGAACATTTCATGAAAAAATTAAAATAACTTTCTTTCGTTGGAGAAAGAAAGTCCCCCCATATTTTAACTATTAGACTTAAAACTATTACAAATAGACATTAAACATCCACTCAAATTTCATTTTCAACTATGAGAAGGGTGGGCAATAAAGGCAATTTCAGTCGCAAAATAAACATGGATGCCTAGCTATAAATTCACCATAATGGGCACCTAAAATCACAACACAAAGTTTTTGTTTTGTTTTACAGCAAAGGAGATCAGGTAACTCCAGTAACAATAATTTATCTAAGTGATGTTGGTTAGGTAAATTAGCTTTGGTGTATCTTTCATGCAGTGTTTAAAGCAGATCGTACTTAGCCACACTCACACTTTAAGTAGTATTAATAATAATAAAAAGAAATATTTAAAAAGTAGAAATAAAATTACCTTTATATCAAATGTCTTCAAAATGCCGTGTGCGTTCAGTATAGGAAAATAGGGCCAAACCAACCCTAATGTGTTTTTTAAAAAAGCAAGTTTAGCTAAGGAAAATTGTGTGAGCAAAGGATAAGTCTTTACCAAATCAAGGAACATGAAACTCATTTAGTTCATGAGCTTTTGAAGGGCTGATCTAAAATATGAAGTTTCTGAAGAATGTACCACACTAGTTTAAGTACAAAGTAATTATACTGCATTCTATAACCAATGCATAATTTTCAAGATTCATGAAAACTTAAAATACCATGAAGGAACACATAAACTTGAGCAAAAGGCTGCTAAGTGGGGTTAACATACATCAAGATTCAGACACAATATCATAAAGAAAGAGATTGCTACAGAGTATATAAGGGTACAAGGTTAGTAAGGTCATTTGTTTTTAAAAATCTAGATGGATTATATTTTGCTAATACTTGAGCATACGAGCAAAACTGGAAGATGGTCCACAGTTCAATAAAAATACCAAGTCAAAATATGTGCTTTCAAAGTTAAAATTGGGTTTAAAACCAACTCTGAGGTAATTTTTGAGCATCAGATAGATGCTTTAGAAAAAATGGCAAGCTTCACTTATGAAATGTAGCGTATTAACAATAAATGCTAACAAAATGTGGAGTAAAAGAGATGAAAACTCTTTTAAAAATGGATATCATCAGTCTTCCTTCATAAACTTATTTTTGGACATGGAACAAAAATTTCAATCTCTCTGGTGTCCATTGAACATCAAGAGACATGGCAGAATATTACTAAAATTAAGAAAAACCAAGATAGTTGATATTTTTCTCACAACATGTCCTTTACAGCTATCCACTGCAGGATATAAAAGGAGAGTGGGATAAGGCTAAGAACAGGATAGCAGGATGAAAAAGAGCTACTGATTTAGAGAATGAGCAGCAATATGTGCAACACAAGGATACCACAATATTGAATGGCAGATAAAATATCACAATGGATAAAGAGAATTAAATTTCATAGCTAAATCATTTTTTTTTTTTTTAAAGAATAAAGAAAAAAAGAGAAAGAATTAGGAAGGCCTAGATCTGACTCTCCACTCCACAGACTCACTGCGTAATGAAGGAGATGGTGTTACTTCAACACCACCACTCTCTTCACTAATAGTCGACAAGCCAAATGCAGGCACAACATTAGAAGGGGAACTAAAAGATGGAAGTTTATGCTGAACAGGAGAACTGCTGCCAGAAAGCTTTAGTTGTGCTGGTGAATTTGTAGGTGATGAATTCACTGATGAGTCAGTGTCAGGAAATTCCATGTCAATAAAGCCCACCTATAAAAACATTTTTTAAGTAAAGGGTTACTAATTTGATCAGTGTAGTTGGTTCAAGAACAATAATTGCTATCAAACATACCTGATGTGCACGGCCATGAAAAGGTACAGCATGGCCCAGAGGATTTGGAAGCCTCATTTGCTCGTATTGGAGGAAGTTTCCCATTGCTGGATAAACTGGTGGTGAGGTGCCATCCTGCTTTTTCAAGAAAAAGGAAATAAGAAAAATGTCATCAAGTCACTTAGTTATGTTTGGAAAATTAGAACTTACCACATTGTAGCTTGTAGCGAGCGCAACTTCTGAAGCTCTTGAACGATCTTCAAATGGTTGCAAGACACAAAGCAAAGTCCATAAGGGTACAAGGAACTTTGCTAATCCAAAGATAGAAATTGTGATGGAATAAAATAGTTGGGTATGCCCAAACACACCACTACAACCAGAGTCTGTGGAACCAACTGAAAAGAGAATCAAAACCCATACGTCAATAATAAAATTAATTTAAAATAGAAATGAGACACAACAGCAAATAACGCACCCAATTTCATAACAATGTCAAAGGTGAGAGATAAAACAGCTGAGACCTGATAAACAAGTATTATGCTCCAAAGATCTCTAAACTGAGCTCTTTGCACACCACCTGATCTATGGAGGATGTATAAAGCTGCAATTGAAAATAGTTGTACTGAAAGAAAGTCTGCGACTGATAACATCAGCCAGTATGGACCTGTAGCAAGTAAATAAGGGTAACCAAACTTCAGAAATCAGAAATCACTTTAAGGCATCAATAAATTCAAGATTCACTCACGTTGACACTCAATCCATGAACCAACCACGTCTACCATTCCCATAAGAGCAACAGCAACACAGTAAAGGAGATACAAACACAAAACTGGATTTGCCACATGTTGCATTATGTCTGGCCGTCCAAGAGACCTTGCAGCAAGAGACCAATGAAGATGACAGACCAATGCAAAGATGGCTAGTTTCAAGAAGCAAGCAGCCAATTCAACTTGTGGGTATCGGTTTCCCACCATGAAACTTGTTGTGCTGTCAAACAAATAAATTAGAGGTAACATAAAATTATTAAATTAGATGAAAAACTGCAATGTGCAACTTAAACATAATGAAAGTGAGCAAATGTGTCAACAGTAGTGACAAGTACTTACCAAACGATACATTGAATGGCAGAAGCGTAAAATATTGCATAATGATGCATTCTCGTATTACGATAAACATGATACTTTATTATTTTAAATATTATGAATATAAGAGTAATGGTTGATGCAGTTGTAAGAAGGCCTGTACGCAAACATGCCAAAGTGTCGTATGGCTCCCAGCAACCTTTGTTGGCCTTTAAAAAGTAGAAATAAAATTACCTTTATATCAAATGTCTTCAAAATGCCGTGTGCGTTCAGTATAGGAAAATAGGGCCAAACCAACCCTAATG